GTACTGGGGATCAAACTCGGGTCCTTGTGCTTGGGGGGCAGGTGGCAGAACCACTGAGCTAAATCCCCAGCTCATGTAGTTCTAAATCTATGAAGAATTCTCTGAGTGAATAAATAAGAAAACTACAAAAAATTAGGAAAATATCGTAAACTCAAGTTATGAGGTATTTCAAAAATACAATGCCAGTAAAAATTCTCTTTTCCATAATTTGCAACTGCCAAATTGGTTTAGATTTTTGGCTTTAGTTTATCTGTCCTTATGTTTGGAGAAACACAGAAGAGTTTGAGATAAAAGCCCTTTTGAAAATATGAGGGTTGCAGTAGTTCAGAGCAGAGTCAGAAAAGGAAAGAGATAAAGCAATACTCACCTGTCTTTGTATGAGAATAACAATATTTCCTTAAAAGTGCTTGAAAACTTTTTTAGTCGTAAAAATCACTCACTTTTATAGAACACACAATTGTCTATGTGACTACTCTTTCCAGAGGGAGTTTTTTTTGTTTTTAAATATGAGGAAAGCACGACTTATTCAAATTAGATTTTCCATGCTGTATTTAGTTTTACAGATGTGTTTAGTTCTAAAACTGTGGTTTATTGTATTATAGGGAGAACATGTATATAAAAAAATTCCAGGAAATCCTTACTCTCAGACACAGTCATTTTTAACACTGCACTGGGACCTCTTAATTCCTGTAGCTTATTGCTTGCACTAGTTAGAAATCCTTGAATTCCCTGTATATACCTAATTGTCATGGCTGAAGTCTAAAAAACTGGTCCAATATTACATCTTATGAATAGCCTGGTTTTTAAAGTTTCCCCAAAGCTTTTTGATCTTTTTCTAATAGATTGTTCCTCCTACATAACAAGAACTAGTAATTCCCAGCAAGTAGATTTCCTTAGGTGTAATGGATTACCAGAAACATACAGATCACATATGAATACATTCTCAGCCAACATACACAAGCATTCACTCAAGGGACAAACCAGCCATGGCCCAGGCATACATACATGTGCAAATGTACAACTGACAGCAAATTATTTTAGATCCTAATGTCCTCTGAATATTAAAAATTAGCTGAGAGACAGCTCTTGTGACATTTAGTATGAAAATTTTAGACTGTAATTTTCATGATGAAGTAGTTTCATATCACATCTCGTGAGTTTCTTATTGCACAGCAAAGGACCATGCTGAATATCATGCCAAAGATCTGAAATAGAAGGAACCACTCATTAGTGACTTTCAAATATATTTGATAAAAAGGTTAGCAAACTGCCTAGGTCTCTAACTTAATAATTGATTATATTTTTAACATAATAATTGATTATAATTATTGGTTGTAAATAGCATTTTTATATGTTCATTAAGGATGGCACTGGGTAAAGACTTCATTATTAATTCTGCTTAAAATGCTTTACTATTTTATTATTGTTAACGAATAACAAGGCTTTGTTTTAAGAAAAAGATCCCATTAGGCCAGGGATTTAGCTCAGTTCTGCTGCCTACCTTGAAAGTGCAAGGTCCCAAGTTCGATCCCCGGTACCAAAAAATAAATAAATAAATAAAATAAAAAGGCCCCATTGCTGGCTTATAAAACAGTTCTGAATTGTTGTGAAATATTGATATGCTACTGGTTTTGGAATTTAATATTTTGAGGTTAATCCCAGACTTCATATATTCATTTTGAAAAATGTATTCATAACTTCCTGTTGTTTAAATATGCTTATAGTCTAATCATTTTTTATTATCAGAAAAACTAAATTCTTACCACAATGATCACATATTAAAAAGTGGGGCATCTCTTCATTTCTGGTCCATTTCTAAGTGCAAATGATACTTCACTGGTTTTTACTCAATAGTTTTACCAACACATAAACTACAGTGTCTGAACTATGGCATTCCTGACTTCTACATTTTGGATAGTTCTCTCAGTAACCAGATAGTTGGGTGACATCAAGCTCCATTTCATGGTTTGAATGGAAGCATGTCAAAGGCTCCTTCTTCATTTCAGTCATTTACCCTGAAATTTTGCAGAGTCTGCCTGTGCCATTTATAAACAACTGTCATTGTTTTTAAAAAATTCACACAGTAATTCTTTGATTCTCTCCTCAATCCCACCTTAAGTTAGACTAGGATCTGTAAAGGCTAAATGCAACAAGGCATAAAATGTTCAGTTGTTCTAGAAGGGCAGGAGCAGACTAAAGTACAGGCATAGCCAGGAACAGCACTTTGGGCTTCTGGCTGACAAGACTCAGTACCAGTGTGTGGCAGGGGAGACACCTAATGGACATTTGGTTAACTGATTACACTGTGCAACCTGTGCCTTATTCAAAAAGAACTAAAGAAACTCAGAAGGTGCTGATCCAGACAACCAACCTAGGTATTTCCCCTTTACCATGTGTTACAGTTTGGATCTTAAATGTCCCTCAGAGGCTCATGTCTTGAAGGACAGTCCCCGCTGATGGTGCTTTTGGGAAATGGTGGAACCTTTAGGAGGTGGGGCCTAGAAGAAGGAAAGGAAGTCACTGAGGGTGGGCCTTTGAATGGGATTCTGGGACCCCAACCCCTCCTGTCTTTTACTTCCTGGACACCATGAGGTGAGCGATTTTACTCTCCTATATGCTCTCTACCATGGTGTGCTTCCTATTATGATGTTCTGTCTTGCCCCTGGCCCAAAGCAACCAGAAGTGGCCACAGACTGAAACTTCTGAAACACTGAGCTAAAATAAACCTTTCCTCCTTTTACATTATGTCAAGTATTCTGTCACAGTGATAGAAAGCTAAAACATCATGGTGTAAGGTTGCATACAATCGCTACCTCATCCTGGTTGTACTCTGAAGGGATCCCTCAGAAAGAAACTTCTTTAGGCTCAGCTGCTGCCACCATGAGTCAGGAGTGACTTCATTAGTTGAAACTGTAGAATTGTTAGGAGGATCTATTTCACGCCTCGGTTACGTAGAATGTTTTCAAACTTCCTGCCTCAGGATTGTGCCAGGGAAGCTGCAGAATTGCAATTAGGCTAGCTCCAGAGCAGGTGGAGAGGGCCTGAGAGATATCCTTGGACTCAGAGGTCCTCAGCATGATATCTTTAGCCACTGGTCTACCCCTCTGTGCTCTAAATTCAGAAAAGGGGAAAGTGCAGGGTCCCCTGCAAAGTACCATTTCATGGATTTCTTTCTCATTCTCATAGCCCTGCCTTAGTGTAGGCCATGGGTTAATCTATACAGAAGACTGGAGAGTAAGTGCTATCTCAGCATTAGTTATCATCAGCCTCTGGACAATGGAAATCACCTCTTCACTAGCCTCTTCCTCCATCTGGTCTCACTCCAACCCTTCTTTGATCCTGCACTCAGGTATTTCTAACCCTTGAATGCTCCTCTCTGAGGATTAACCCCAGCCTCTTAGAAGGGCTCACAAAATACTATTATGTGGACCTGACATCTCCTCCAGTGCCATCTCTTGCCATTCCTATCATACCTGTCTGTGGCCATCTGTTCTTCCCATACATTCTTCTTTTGTACTTTAGAACTACTGAGCCACCTACACGTGCCTGGTACACTATCCTTTGTACCTTCCCACATGCTATTTCCATCACCTGGATTTGGGTTCAGGAACACTCAAATTACGTAGAAAGCTGGTATTTATTGGGGGCCATATGTTCCAGATACTTTCTCTGAATTAATTTGTAATAATAATTTATATGCAGTATCCCATTTAATTTTCACAATGACCTTAATTTGGTATCTTAAAAACCTCAGCCAGGTGTGGTGATGGATCCCTGTAATCCCAGTACTCAGAGGCAGAAGCAAAAGGATTGCAACTTTGAGTCCAGTCTGGGCAACTCAGTGACTTAGCAAGACCTTATCTAAAAATAAAAATTAAGAAAAAAGGAGATGTAGTTCAGTGTAAGAGTCCTGGGTTCAATCCCGAGTACCACAAAAAGTTCCCATTTTATAGATGAGGAAATTGAGGTACACAGAAATTAAAAGGCATTCCTGCAATCTCAGGTCTTATAAGTAGTAGAGCTAGAAAAATGAATCTAGATCATGTGATGCCAGAGCTTAATTAATCACTATACTATGCTGTCTCTTCAAATCATAGATTAACCTGAAATGTTATTTTGAATTGAAAATTGCTTACCTACATTAAGATTGGTGGCCTTAAACTGATAAGTTATTGCAGTGATGAACTCAAGGTCATAATTATGTCAGCACTGAAATATATAACCATATTTTAAGACTGATGTATTTAACTAGCTTTGTTCTTAGCAGTTGTACCATGAATAAATGTCTTTGCCCTTTATGAAAATTATCTCTTGAAATACTGCTATCTCACGTGTTGAAAAATCAGGTGCAAAGGTCCAAAGCTTCTTAGAGGGCAAAAAAGGTAAGTTCTGGAATTTTCTCACCGTGAGACCTGCAACTCCAATACCAACAATTCCGATGAGCTGAAGCTTAACACTGATTATGGTTTCAATTTCATCAATGCAATTCTGTTTGGGAGAAAAAAAAGAATAAAAACTGATTGTATGTGTGACCCACTCCTCTCTCCTGATCAATTCTTTCTCTACAGATCATTCTGTGAAAATTAATTCATGTCAGCCTCTCTCTGCTCACATGTACTTACTCTTAAGTAACATCGTCCTGACAACCTTAAAACAGAAGTGTAGTTTGGGGAAAAATATAATCCTTTCCTTTTGGTGGAAATTTTTAATTTAGGTCAGTTGCTGCATAAGAGCCCTGAAATCTAGCTGAGGACGATATTTCTCTAGGATCTGAAACATTTTAAAATTTGAGACCTCTTCATACTTTCAGCAAAGAAAAATAAGAAAAATAGCCCCAGAATAATAACTCCTTGTTTTCATATTGTTATTTAGAGTTTAAAAGACTTTTTAGATACTTGATCAAATTTATTATGCAAAGTAGCCATTACCTACTAAGGAACTAAAAACCCTGTGCAAGTTTAAATTAAACAAAGAAAAGCCATGGCTTAGGAAAGTCAGGTCTTAGGAGTTAGAGAACCATTCTCTCTTGTAGTGGCTGTGCTATGCTGTGGGTCCCTATCCTTACGCCCCTTAGGAGACCCATGAAGCAGTATTCAAAGGACCTTCACAGAGAGGGGAAAATTGGATAGGGAGCAGAAGAGGTCACCTGTAACTCTTATTTGTTTCACCAGTGCTACGGTTTGGAAGCATTCCCCAAAAACCCATGTGTTAAAAGCTTGGTCCCCAACCTCTGAGAAGTGGGACCTAGTGGAAGGAAGTTAGGTCACTGGGGTGTGTCCTGAAGAGGGTACTGGGAGCTTGGCCACTTTCTTTTTTTCTCTTTCTCTCTCTGCTTCCAAACCACCATGAGACAGACAGGCAGCCTCTGCCCTGTGGCCCTCTGTGACATACTGTGTCTCCATAGGCCCAAAGCAACAGGGCCAAGAGACCTTGGACTGAAATGTTGGAAACTGAGCCCAAATAAACCTTTCCTCCTTTTAAGTTGATCATGCAGGTATTTTGTCACAGTGGTAGGTTCAAAAGCTTCTATTTGGAGTTCTCTTAAGTAGAGTTGTGCTCTCAGTCCATCTATACCCTCAGGCTACTCGGATCCTTTGACTTGTCCCTAATAATCTCCCTCAGATACCCTTAGAGGCTACATGAAATCCTGAGAATGCTTCTCACATCAACTTTCATGCTTCCATGAGACAACAAACATTTCTTGAGCACCTACTTTGTATCAGCCACTGGAATATGCAGGTTGATGTGGGAGACAATAAGACATGATTTCTTCTGTTGTCAGGAAGCTCAGTTTAAAGAAAGATTCACACTCACAAAAAATTATAATACATTCTGGTGAAAGTTTAGAAACACTGCTGTAGACACTGGGTCCCTTATATACTGGAGAAAATGGTAGCCAACCTATAGCGCTTCTTCTAACTTTTATCTCCTTTCCCTGTGGTCTTTGTATATATATATAT